GTTTTTTAAAACTTCTTTATAGGCAACAATGTATGTATTTAGATTAATTTAAATACAAAGTTTAATATTAATTGGTTTATATCATAATTATTTGAATATATTTTATGAATTGTTTGTTTTTAGCTAGTTAACAGTAATACTTGTTAATAATAATGATGACCATTTTCTGTTATTCAAACAGTAGGCTACACATGTACTAATTTGAACTGTACTGCAGAAAGACTGGCATCATTATATCATTTATAAAATGTTTGCATTGACTACAAATGCAAGTACTCAATGCAAGTACAAATGCTACTTTTCACTTCCTGTAATACGGATGTGGTGATTTACAAAGAGGCACCGCTTAGGCAATGGTTTCTTGCTACACTTTCTCACTGAGGACTAAACCCCCGGAGGAAGCGTCCCTGCTGTGGATGATGTTACAGGAGTCACTCCTCTGGCCGAGTTCGTCCAGAAGGCTTGATTTTATCCTTCAGTGGTTGATTGGATCGTGAAAGGCGAGTGTTGAGCACTGGAATGGAGGCTGATCGGGGTTGAGTTTACTCAAACACATTGATCCAGGAGAAACAGATGAAATATTCTAATGTAATCATTGTGTTATGAGACACCAGCTTCACACATCAGAATCAATGACCGGGCATCTGAACAAGTGTTTCTGTCGCCTCATCCTGTCCGTAGCTTTCATTCAGGGGAAATACAATTACATCCAAACTGCAGCTCCTCTGAAGACATCTACAGATATTGCATGTCTTCTGTATTGTTAGCCCAAAATATAGATATATAGATTGTTTGTGCACAGTTGTATTGCACCAAGACAACTTTAATGACAACATTTTAGATGATAAACAATCCAAGTGTGAACGGGTCAAAGGTGAATGTTCTGCAGGGACACACGCGCTCACTCCTCTGAACATAGAAATATGTTACTCTCATTTATTTTTCTTCTAAATGTAAGGAATTATTAATTAAGATTAGTTACTGTTCTTACTGTTCTTCCCTCATGGTATTTCCGGAGCCTGTAAGAAAAAGCGAGCCTCTCTGAGGGCCCGAGGGTCGTCAGAGTCTGTGGGTTGTGTGGTTGGAATCGATGCGTCTGAGTATCTCTCCTGTGGGACAAAAAGCATTCAGCGTCACAGACGCACGTCCACAGCTGACTGTCCAGTTTCTCAGCCTCACGCTGATAGCAATGGACTGCGCTGAGCTCTTCTTATTAGTCAACATGAGCATGCAGTCTTCAAAGATTAGTTACTGTTCTTATTTTTTTTTAAATAATCATTTAGCAGACGCTTTTATCCAAAAACGTCTTACAATTGGGGAAAACATCAAGCGATTCATCTTAAATGATTGTAACATTTTGTAACATTGTAACAACAATTTGATTGTAACATGTCATAGATCTTTTCTAATCGATCAGTCACACTGCTGTTTGTCTTTTGAAATAATGTGCAAGCATTACAGAATGTTTTCCTTTTCAAATTCTGAAAACTCTAAAAACATGGTAATACTTTTGAGCATGTCAGCTTTCCACAGATCACACATTTGAATGCCGTCATGCTCAGTTACAGCATACACGAGAACCAATGCCATTTTACCAATCTAAATGTGGATTTTAATAAAAGTCTCTTTCATTTTATCCATCAAATGCAGTGGTATTTTTCATGATTGATTAACAATGTTATGCTACTGTCTGTCTGTTTCTATGTTTCAAAGCCATCCAGCCCTGTGATTCTCAGCTCCAGTCCCAGTAAACCACCGCTCCGCACATTCATGACGTGAAGTGAGTGTGACAGAGCTCTCTCCTAATGAGGGGACCACCTCTGTTAAAATAAGAGAGATGTGCAAAATGTGCAGAGTAGCACTTATTCAGAGTCGAGTGTGATTATTACTCATGCAAAAATATTTTCTCAGAACAGGAGTTCTGCTATTTAGAGCGGGAATATCATGTGCCAAGCAATCTTTGCTCTTGTTAAAGCACTCAAATGTAGCACGCCGCAGAAAAAGTGTTCAAAAGCAGCACACCCTCCACCAGATACTTCTTACACCATTATTTTTCAATAATTCAACAGCCTGTCGTCAATTATTTGTCACTTATACTACGGTTGCTACATTTATGTGGAGTTTTACTTCTGATAATGAGAGTATTTAATCTAAATGTATGCATGAAATGGAAAACAGAGTTTAAAATCATTCTGTCTATATCATTTCATCTGCTCACACCAGTATTCTGTATGATCTATATGAGTGTATCTAGAGTGTGCAGAAGTGCATGCGTTTCAGTGTCGGTTATGGTCATATGCAGTGTTTGATACTTCAGGTTAGGGCTAGGGTTAGGGTGAGGTTATTTCCCTCATGGTATTTCCGGAGCCTGTAAGAAAAAGCGAGCCTCTCTGAGGGCCCGAGGGTCGTCAGAGTCTGTGGGTTGTGCGGTTGGAATCGATGCGTCTGAGTATCTCTCCTGTGGGACAAAAAGCATTCAGCGTCACAGACGCACGTCCACAGCTGACTGTCCAGTTTCTCAGCCTCACGCTGATAGCAATGGACTGCGCTGAGCTCTTCTTATTAGTCAACATGAGCATGCAGTCTTCAAAGACTGCGAGGACTGAGAGATGTGTTTCCCGCCCGGCCGCTGCTCCTCAAGATAACAGCAATATTGGATCGTAAGCTCAGATGAGATTCTATTATTGCTGCCTGATCCAAAATAAATATGAAAGCACAAAGGAACATCGAGCAGCAGTAAATATCATATTATACTCCGCATCGTTTCTCGGTTTCTGAGGACGATTTGTGAATTTCTCTTTTGTTTTGTTTTTCAAAATTCCATTGAATTTTTTTTCCAAATTCTGTTTTTTCCATTTTCATTTCTCTGGATTCAGTTTTTGCCGTTTTTCTGTTTTTAATTTTTCAAGATTCTGTTTTAATAGTTAAAAAAATAATAATAATAATAATAATCAAAAAGCATGTCTAATTAATTGAAATCATGAAACATACTAAATTTATAAGCGATGTATTAGCATTTTAAACAAAAATGACATTTTTAAGGCCCTATGAAATATATTTTCAAATTCAGTTTTATTTGACCAAATTCTGGATTCATGTACTCATATATTGAGGTGGCAGAGGCTGAAAACACCGTGAGCGTCACATGTGCTTCAGTATGTGTGTAGTAAACAAAACTGCATGTCTGCGCCATTCATTCATACAGAGACACGCACAACATGCAGGATTCATATTCAAAAATGACATTTTTAAGGCCCTATGAAATATATTTTCAAATTCAGTTTTATTTGACCAAATTCTGGATTTTCCATTCATTTTCTGGATTCCATTTTAATGGTTTCATTAAATTTTAATAATCAAAAGCATCTCTAATTAATTGACTTTATAAAAAAAAAAAAAGTAACTTTTTTTTCAGAAATACTGTGTTGCTTATTTACATTTTCTGGTGAATAAATTCTGGTAAATATTTTTTTTTTCTGGTAAATATTTCTCAAAGAATAATGTTTTAATAATAATGTTATCATTAGTAGTAGTACTATCATTACATTAAGTAATATAGTTCTGTCAAAGTTTCTTCAATTTAAACCAAACTCTTATTTTGACTAAGTTGCTGTGAAGACCTTTAAGTTTCTGTTATATGATATGACAATGGGTTTTCTCAAAAGTAACAGTAAAATGCTCCTGAAGTGACTCTCAGAGCAGTTCTAGAGATCATATAGTGTAGTAAACAAAACTGCATGTCTGCGCCATTCATTCATACAGAGACACGCACAACATGCAGGATTCATATTCAAATAGTATTTTTGTGGCTTAATATTCACAGACACTAGTCCATATCTGTGATTTAAGTGTATTGAACTACTTTTGATTTATTCATCCAAAATTTTGCAAATTCCATGACATTAAATTCTGTTTTTATGAATGGATTCCTCGATTCCATCTGCGTTTTCCGCCTCACAGAAATCATAGGGCCCTAAGAAAACGATAGTGCCATCATCTAGCTTAATTCAGGTTTGTTCTCATCTGATGATGGTACAGTCGTATTCATGAATTACTGAAAGTTAAGTGTCTTTCAGACCCAAACTAAGCAAACCAGAGACAAGAGTGGCAAGGGAGCCAAACTCCATCAGATGACAGAAATGGAGGAAAACCAGACTCGGTCCGGGGGCCAGTTCTCCTCTGGTCTGAGGGGTGATATTGATGGAGGTGTGTCACACCAGCATTAAGAGGGAAAGGAAGAGTTGTAGTCTGTCCAGCAGGCTGAAATATGAAAGCAGAGCTGCCGTTTAGCCAGTACTAGACGACTGGGTTATCAGTGGCCTTTTAAGAATGATGAACGTCTTTCTGGATAAAACTGGATTTGGGTTCCAGCTGGCCCTGGCATGACGTGTTGATAGCTGGCCATAGGGATCTGTGCTGAGGACTTGTGGAGGTCTTCACCAGCTGTAAACAGGTACGTTGTGGTTGTCACTAGGTGCAGGTCCATCATATAGTCTGAATACGGACCAGATCTGGCTGACTACGGTAACCTCGGGTTAAGGATGAGGCCAATGGACTAACAGAAGTTTAGATGCCATTCCACTCATGATGTAACAATATGCCGGGTGTTTATGGGAAGTATCTGAAATTTTGGACTAATTCAGTAAGGCACTTTCACATGCTGTATTTCAACAAAAACAGCCTGGATCTTATTCCTGACCCACTCACAGTCCAGCAGAACCAGCCCCTGAATGAGCTGCTTGTGCTGTGTCATTTAAAGGACACCTATTATGCAAAATTCGCTTTTACATGGTGTTTGAACATAAATGTGTGTTGGCAGTGTTTGAACACAACCACCCTATAATGATGTAAATCTACCCGCTCCTTTTTTTGTCCCCATTAATCATAAGCAGCGTCTCAGAGCAAGCCGTTCGCAGAATCTGTAAAATGTGACATCACTTTGCACAGGCCCCGCCCACGACTGTTGACAGACACTGCCATATCAGCAGAGACCCCGCCCTGAGTGATCCACACACAGTCCGCCATGTCTATCTTCACACTACACCATTTAAAAACAGCATTCAAGTAAGAAATGTATTCTATTTAAATCTATAGAAGTTATTCAGTCCAGAGCAGTGAGTGATTTTCTGCTTTTATTTTATTGTTTGGGTCTGTATATTTTGCTGCTGTCACTTAATACACAGATCTAATATAAACATGCAATTTCTTTCCCAGCTGCTTAACTTCACAGACAGAACTGACAGTGTTTTTGTAACTTATGCGTTTTTAACAAACGTGTGTGTATTTGACAGTTCAATTGCAATAAGACATGAAAGAGAACTTAGTTTAGTACTCCCATGCCATAAAAGTGGGCGAGGTGAAGCGGCTCATTTGCATTTAAAGAGACATACACGAAACAGCCTGTTTCTGCTTCCACTCAAAATAGGCATTTTCAAAATGACATCAATGATCTGTGGGGTATTTTGAGCTGAAACTTCACAGACATATTCTGGTGACGCTTGAGACTTATATTACATCTGAAAAAAGGGGGCATAATAGGTGCCCTTTAAATGATGTTGTCATCAATCATTTTAGCATATTCACACCTCTGCTCTCTGTCAGACAGGCCGAGCAGGACAGTGAGTTGTTTAATCAGATCTTCAGAGATTTAATGTTTTGTATCTTCAGTTCATCTAAGGCCGTGGCTGAAGAAAGTTGTAGTCTGTGTTCTTATTTCTCTTTCTTTCAGTGCTTGTTCACAGCAGGTGTTTGAATGATTGAAAGAATGCTTCAGGAACATCGTACTAACCTGTAAAGAGCGTTCTACTAACTTTATGGAAACTGGACATTTTTATGTTCTTGGGATGTTACAAATCAACGTTCCTAGAATGTTGAATTTTAAATCAAAATTAAGTTGAAAGAACGTTTGAGGAACATCATACCTTTTAAAAACTTTCCTCTAACTTCAAGAAAACTGGACACTTTTTATGTTCCCAGAACCAACACTGAATATTTGGAGAACGTTCTTGTAACTAAATTCTGTTAGCTGGGATGGAACCATTTAGACAAAAAAGGTTCTTCTATGGCATCGTGAAGCACCTTTATTTTTAAGAGTGTAGGTTAGAGGAACAGATTTTCCTTCACACATGAAGTTCATCAGTGAACAATAACTCGTTTCAGTCTGTTTTTCATACAGGGAATCATATGTCCTCAGATGACCTGCAAAGCAGTACAAGAGTAAATAATGGCAGATTTTGGTTTTTGAGTGAAACGTTCCTTTAATGCTCTCTAATCTGCTTGTGCCGAGGCAAATCACTACAGATTTCCTTTTATTTCAGATGCAACTTTTTGCAACGGCCAGCAGGCATTTAAGTGTCCGAGCCGTCCTCGAATGTCCCACAGCCATCGGAGGTCATGAACTGACATATCGAGTTTCAGATATCAACACATCTTATTTACTTTTTACTAAAATGGTCTGATGATGATTTGTGTGAAACTGTCTAGGTGTTTATTTGGAATGTCTCAAAATGGAGGACGTATCTTTGGATTCTGTAGAACACAAGTCACAAAAAAAGCTTATTTGTGTAGTTTATTATATATTTTGAACACTAGGTGAAGCTGCCAAAACTTCATAGTTATCTTCAGGGTTTGCTGCCGAAGACACACATCCAGTTTTGTAATGATACATGAATGCATTTATAATATAAAACATCTTGCAACAAAATTTAATTTGACAGATGTCCAAGAATGGTTTAATTTGACAGACTGACAAGAACGGTTTAGTCTCTTAATAACGCTGATGTCTGTAAGAAATGTTAAAAATTATTCAATTTACATTGAATAATTTACAGTCAATTTACAAAACTTTGCTATGTACAGTTCTATTGGCAGCCATAGACTGAAAACACCTCTGATAATGTCTGGCTATGCACCTTCAGTTCTTGGCCCCTAATCAACAATGTATTATATTAGCAATGCTGGGGAGTCGCTTACTAAAAGTATGTTGCTGCTAAATATAATTTTCAGTAGCGTGTCAGCAGCTGTCATGTGCAAGTGACCGTTTTTCTGGGAAGTGTCAACTTTTATGAAAGAAATGGTGAGATAATTTTCATTTTTGGATGTAGTGTCTCTTTAAATTGATTTAATTCAAATCTAATAAAAATGTCAATAATATTTAATGTGAATCATTCTGAATTTGCAAAAAAAAAAATTTGGAAAATTTTAATTCAACCAGAAACATATGAATCATGAATTGAATCAGGTCTCACCAACCACTGCAAGTGAATGAAATGAATAATGAAATGAATATTATTATTATATGATTAAATGCAATAATAGCGCCATAAATGATTATGATTACAGATTCTAAATGAATAAAGAACACACAACACAGCAGAGATGCATATTCGCTCTCCTGAAGAAGAGGTTCACAGTCTGTTTGACTCATCTGCCGCCCACCGTTATGACACACTGTCCTGTGAAATGGAAATGTGTGTGTTAGATGTCAGTTATGGACCGCTCTGTGGGCTCCTGACGGGGTAATCGGCTCAAATGAAACTCCACCAATGTAAGTCCCCTTGAAGCTGAAGGTAGCTTGGGTCGTGCCCTTCTCTCAGTGAAGTTCTCCTCTGGTGTTTCACAACGGTGTCTGTTGGCACACAAACACATTTGTCACTGTAAGTGATGTTACTGATGGCGGTTCCTCGTGCCACAGCGCACATCATCTGCTGTAGGGACCTCTAACACTGCCAAGTTCAGTTCACCTGTGTCTGCAAGCCTTGTGTGTCAGAAAACCTCAGCAGTTGATTTAGCTGGTTATTTTGTGTTGTGACGTGTCTGCAATTTATTGGAATTGGAAGGAGGAATTCAACAGTCACGCAACAGATGAACTTCATTAGTCTAACATACAGCAGTAACAATATAAATAATTTATTACATGTCTACTTTAGATGAATTGTCTATTTATTCAATGATATGAATACAGTTTTATCAACTGATTTTTGCCACCATAAATAAAAATTGACATTAACTGTTGGAGTGAGAAGATACAAAGCTTGTTGTGATGGGAGCTGGAGCTGAAGGCTCTGAGCCCAGTAAACATGCATTCACTCGCAGCAGGAGTGCTTGTGTTCTCCCACCTGGATGCAGCTAGTGCCACTAAATCCTGTTTAAACATGGAAGTCCCTGAAATTAGATTCATTCTAGATCAATGAACCCTCTGTGCTCGGCATTAATCACAGCGCATCCCCCTCATAACACACGCCACGGTGTCACGGGGCTGATTCTGACGCACTCTTCTTTCCTTGATTTCTCCTGCTCTGTCCTGCTTTAACTTTACAGATTTCTGTCATTCAGAAAGTGTGCATCTGATGGGAAACAGCGGGACTGTAGCCGCTCATGTAAGCCCCTCATTTACGTTCCACCGTGGAAAACTTCTCTTCTGATAGTTTACATTTATAATAAATGCATTTCATTCACAACAAGAGTGCTGTAACTTAAGTAGGACATTCTTTATATGTAATATTTCATAATTACTGTCTTATTGTCTTTGAAATATGATAAAAGTGTTCTGGCAAATACTGTCAAGCATTTGTGGTCAAATGTACATTAATGTCATTTCTGTTGAAACTTGTATGTCAAACACACATTTGTAATGATGAAGTTGTAACTTAAAATCTATTCATTGTAATATTAGACACACTACAGTTAAAATGATAATCAAGTGCTTCTTTACTTGTGCTTTATTATGTTGGTCAACACATCAAAATAAGTGTACTTTAAAGCAGTAGAGAATACACTTAAAACAATTATTTAAAATGTACTTTAAAATAAAACTTAAATTGACATTACAAAGTGCATTTTTTAGAAGTGTGTACGTTAAGAAATGTAGTCATGAAAGTGAACTTTTTTTTTTATTTCATTAATATTGTATTATCTGCAAGTAAAGTTTTTAAAAAATACATCACAACAAGTGCACATTCAGTACTGTTAAGAGCACTTCTGGTGCACACAGAGCTCAAAACTCTTCACAGTAATGGACTGAGTTGAGATTCGATGTGTTGATGCTGACAGTCTAGTAGTTAGTGCAATGACATATAATGCAACTGCACCAAGTCCCAACTCAGGGTCCTGTGCCAGTCCTGTTCCTAACCCCATGCTTTCCTGTCATTCTCGGCTGTCCTGTCCACTAAAAGCATGAAAAACCAAACTCGGCCCAGCAGAAACCCAGCCTCCAGTATGGCTAAAGCCAAAGCTGTGCTTCTCCAGGTTGATTCTGTGACACTTGCTGTCATCAGTGACAAGTGATTATATTGGACACCAGAGATGAGCAGCATCAGTCTGATTAATATCAGCAATCGGTTTTTTTTGTTTTTTTTTAATGTCCGCCACGTAAACTTTCAAGGTGGAGTGGGTCAACCCTGCGGAGAAATGGGCCAGCAGGAACTCCAGCACTGAACCAACCGGGCAGTTAACTGGGTTGAGCTGGTGGTCTCCGCACCAAGAAGTGAAAAGCTTCCACTTCAAGGCATACAGTTTCCTCGTTGAGGGTGCTCTGGACTGGAGAATGATCTCAACAACCTCAGTTGAGAGACCGGAAGCTATGAGTTGTGCCCCCTCAGGGGCCACACCCACAGTTTCCAGAGCTCCAGGCGGGGGTGAAAGAGGGTGCCCCCCGCCTGAGAGAGGAGGTCCCTCCTGACGGGAATCTCCCACGGAGAGCTGTCGAGAAGGGACACCAGGTCCCAGAACCATACTCGGCCCGGCCAGAACGGGGCCACTAGCAGCAGACGGACCCCGTCCCTGCGCACTCTCTCCAGAACTCCCGGGAGCAGAGCGAGCAGGGGAAAAGCGTACAGACAAAGCCTCAGCCAAGTCTATAGCATCCAGTCCGAGAGGAGCTGGATGAGTCAGAGAGAACCAGAGGGGACAGTGTGAGGTCTCCTGAGTCACAAACAGATCCACCTGAGCCTGGCCAAACACTCTCCAGATCTGTTCCACCACCTCCCTTCTCCGGGCCTCAGCCCCTGCCTCGACAGGGTTCAATTCAATTCAATTCAATTCAAGTTTATTTGTATAGCACTTTTCATGATACAAATCGTTGCAAAGCAGCTTTACAGGAAATTAAGTTTCTACAATATATTTAGTAGTAGCTTGTCAGTGGTGACTATGTCAAATTGATGTACATATGGCAGAAACGTACGGTAAAATTCAGTTAATGACGTAATCAAACAGATGATGAACACTATTAACAGCAATGATTATATGTTGCAATCAAACTTGTAGCACAATTTGGTAGTTTATGTTGTTTGAGGGTTGGCATCATCTGAGGTTTGCATCATCTCTTCTCCAGTGTTCGGTCATCTCAGGTCTTTGTAAGGGCTGGATCCAGACTGAAGCTGTCAATCCCGTGGCAGAAACAGAGAAACAGGATGAGAGAGAGAGAGACAGGATGTCTGCTCCCTGACTGAGATGCCCAGGGATATGAACTGCTCTCAGGGAGAGGAGTTTCCCTTGGGCCCACACAAGGATCTGGTGTGCCGGCCTGTAAAGGGGGCGCGAATGCAGACCTCCCTGGTGGTTAATATAAGAGACCACCGCTGTGTTGTCGGTGCGCACCAACACATGTGGCCTCTTAGGTCCGGCAGAAAGTGTTTCAGTGCCTGAAACACGGCCAGCATCTCCAGGCAGTAGATGTGCCACATGAGATGGCAGCTGCTCCACAGACCACGAGCTGAGCGGCCACTCATGACCGCTCCCCAACCGGTGAGGGATGCATCCGTCGTTAGCATTACACGACGACAAGGAGCTCCCAGCACCGGGCCCTGAGACAAGAACCAAGGTTTCTTCCACATGTATAAGGCACGTAAGCATCACTGCGTGACCTTGATCATGTGAAGCGGATTTGAAACCCCTTGGTCTTGAGTCACCTCTGTAGGGGTTTCATGTACAGCAGGCCAAAAGGTATCACGTTGGACGCAACTGCCATCAGACCCAACAGTCTCTGAAACTGTATGACAGTGAGTGACAGGCCTTCTCTTACTCTCGCGACTGCCGTGAGGATCGACTCGATCCGAGCAGGAGACAGACTTGTTTGAGCGTGAGCATCCTGAACTTCAGTCGCATGAGCGTTTCAACTGACGCAGATCTAAAATGGGACACAACCCTCCATCCTTTTTCGGAACAATGAAGTACCGGCTGTAGAACCCAGACTCTCTGTCGAGAGGAGGGACCACCTCGATGGCCTCCTTCCTCAAGAGAGTGTTTACTTCTTTTTCTAAGAAGAGAGTCTTCCGGGAGTTAAGTGTACACGTGGAAAAATGCTTGCAATGCGGGCAGTTACCTTCTTTGAGAGCTGACTCAGTGTACTTCGCTCCCAAACAACACATAAACTGTGTGTAGTGCGCGCAGGGAGGAACACACAGTTTATAATGCTGTTTGCCCTTGCTCTTATCTTTAGCCTTTGGCGTGGCTTTATAGAAGTGTTGGACAGACAACAATAAACATAACTGAGACACACAGAGCGCTTGCTGAATGACAGAAGCTGCCGCTGTATCCGCCGCATGAGCTTTTAAGCTCCCTGGTCTCTATGTCACCCCGGCCGTGACGTATCGCCCATCCATTGGACTGATTACACACGTGATTCAGAGTGTGGTCAGGCCGAAGGCATTCCCAAAGAGTTTCGACGCAGCTCAAGTTCCTGAAGGGGAACCAACAACTTTTATTTATGACATGTAGTGCAGTAAAAAGTAAGACATTATGCTTTGGGATGTAGTGAAGTAATGTTTTACAAAGAAAAACACTCTGATAAGCTAAAGATACTTTTTAAATTTACTTGAGCAAAGTAAAAATACTTCACTACTGTCCACCTCTGGCAAGGGACCATGCTAATCTTCTCTGTATCTATCCAATTTTGGTATATGTGTTATCTCACACAACACATCAGCACTCATTCTTGACTTACAGCAGCATCAGGGTTTTGTGTGCTGTTTACAATTGATTTATCACATGAACCAGCTTAGAAATATGTTATATACAACGAGTTATATCAAAAGTAATTTCTTTAAAGTGAATGCATGTAATCCTGTCCTCCGACCCGTATGAAAATCTGCTGCCATCACACAGAGTTGCTGAGGCTGAGGTCATGTGGTGTGTCTGGTCTTTCTGGGTCCTCTCAGCATCACAGAAAGCTGATCGTGTGTGACGTTCTCCTCTCCTCAGGTGTGTCATCAGCCTCCAGCGGCCGACGGGAGGATGGTGGGACGTTATTGACGGGCTGAACCTATGGCAGAGCAGCAGCGAGACTCAGGTGAGAAAACCAGCGCAGCTTCATCACACTAGACATCAGATGCTTTACGGCCACTCTGATTGATAATGCACTGTATTCAAATAAAGAAAACGTCACTCATTCACTCTTAGCAGCCACAGAGTTGTTCCTGAAACACTACGTAATGTTTCAATAGCATATTTAAACAAAATATTGTTTATAATATTTCATAAATAGACTTTTATTGGACCTGAGTTTGTGTGCCGGCTCTTGCACTAATGGGTGGCAGACTGTTGGAGTCATGAATATTAATCGTATTGTCTTTGTTCACTCAAAGTGATTTGCCGAAATCAAACGGGCTGATGGGATATACGGCTTAGTCCCGCCCGCTGACGACGCCTCTGCTTGGTCTTAAAGCCTGCGCTTTATGAGTGTTACGTTACAAAACTGCTGCTGGGATTTTAAATATCACCATCCCAACACTGACATGTCTGTGTGTGAGAGAGGTCTGCAGGTTTTGTTATTGTTGTTGAGTCGAGTGTGATGTGGTTTATGAATCATTATTAGTATCACAATGAGTCAGTGAAGCTGACTGTTTTTTGACTGTTTACTTTTGACTTTGTTCTGCAAATTCTGTTATTATGCAGTAAATATTCACAAGTAATCGTGCTCCTGCAATGACTGACACTGATCACGTTACGTAATGATGGTTGATCTCTGTGAGATCCTGCTGTGCTTTATAAAGCTGCTCACTGAAGGGGCCCGATTTCAGACCTCCCTGCAAACAAGCCCTTTACGGGCCCACTTAGGGCTGCCAGTGCAGGGCTCCTGAGAATTTGCTCATTGGCAAAACGTTGGCCCCTTAGCACTGGCCCTGCACGGGCAGCCCTCACTTAGCCTCCAGGAAGCCTTAGCGCTGTTTTATTGAAAATAATAAAGTTTGAAGTCACCGTTATGGAGGTAAGCGCTTGCTTTAGTTGGGCTCTTGACCCTTGACTGTTTAATTTAAGTTTTTCTCAGGCTGCTGTAGCTGTGTTTCTGAAGCACATTTGTTATAGCAAAAGTTGTGGGAGGAAAAACGAATTACCTAATTTAACCCAGAGCTTGGGCTCTGAGAACATTATTTAGATTGAATTCTTTCACAATATAGTTGCTGCAGTATACAACTGCATGAAATTTTGTCCTGCTTTATTATTTTGAATGTTTTAAAGCTTTTGTGCAGAAATTATTTGGGTGGTTTCATGTAGACACACAGATATTGAGATTCAGCGTATGAACCTCAACAATGGTGACAATCAACAAAATATTCAGAACTCTGAACATCAGAAAATTGAAGTTGATTGTCACCATTGTTGAGGTTCATACGCTGAATCTGTGTGAGCCTGTCTAAATAATTTCTGCATAATGACTAAAAACATTCAGAATAAAGCAGAACAAAATTTCATGCAGAGGTATTCCAGGGCTACTATAAAGTGAAATTATTAAATCTAAATAATGTCCTCACAGATCAAGCACTGGATGAGATCAGTGAATTAGGATACTACACAATGATTAAATCATCAATGAATAACCATTACCATCTGATCAGTTTGTCTTCTTACAACTTCTGCTATAACAAATGTGCTTCAAAAACACACAGTTAGGGCAGTCAAAGAAACATTCAAGTTAAGAAGTCAAGGGTCAAGAGCCCAACTAGTGCTAAGGGGCCAACGTATTGCCAATGAGCAAATTCTCAGGGGCCCTGCGCTGGCAGCCCGTAAAGGGCCAGCGCAGGCTTGTTCGCAGGGATGCTCATGAAGAGATCGTGTTTACAGGAGCTCAGCCTACACTCTCTGAGCATGTAAACTCACTTATCATGTTAGTTAAGGTTTCTGTGCATGGCTGATTTCACTCAAAGTGAAGAATGCGTGCGTGTGTGAGAGACAGAAAGACAGCAAAAGAGAGAAGTGTTATATATTTCCTCTTTGCACATCATCTGATCGTCACCTGGCAAATAAAAGGCCAATTGTTACTGCTAACAGATGACAGGCCCTTCAGGATTTCATGGACATTTTCATGATTTTTGTTGCTCAAAATGGGGTGATACTTTCACATTTTTTGTGTTTGTTTTGTTTTGCAGTCAATAGAGTAGTAAAAATATTAAACACTACCCTGCCCATTGCTCAAATCTTCTGATGCTCCGTATGGCCAGTCCAACCATGTTCATTTTATTCAATGCAGTTGACTCCAGTACAGCAGCAAGCCAGTTGAACATCTGTTGATCAGTTTATTTGGGCTCAGAATTATGGATTTTGATTTGCTAATGTTATTTTGTGTGTACAACATTCGTGGAAATGAGACAAAAGCCAAAGCTGCTGCAAATCAAGTGCCGTTTGGTTGAATGTGCTTAAATTCTGGAGAGACATGACATGTTATGTGACATGTGGCCAAGTATGGTTACCCATACTCGGAATTAGTGCTCTGCATTTAACCCACACCAGTGAACACACACACCGTGAACACACACCCGGAGCAGTGGGCAGCCATTTATGCTGCGGCGCCCGGGGAAAAGACTGAGATGAGGTCAGTGAAAAGAAAGCGTGATGCTGCAGTTGTTAGATGGAAAAGAGGTTTTATGATCCGTCCCTCCGAGGACAGCAGAGGACTTCAGTGTCACGCTCCCGACTGCTGGGGTCCAGTTATATTAAATTCAGGCCGGCATGAAAGCACTCTAAAGGCTAATGTGTCAAATGAGGCTTTTATGGTCTAAGGCCTGATTCCCTGCAGATGTCAGGGTTCATTCTTCCAGATTCCCTGTCTGCAGATGCGGGGCAGGCAGCAGTGGGACCCTGAGGGATGAGCATTTAAATAATTAGACATTTTCATCTTAAAATGATGCAGAGCAACCCTCTTTGTGGCGTCCTGTCTTGTTTGAGAACTTGTTTATGCTCTTGATGCCACTGCTTCAGATTCGATTGCACTGCACTGATTCGCCGTGTCCCAAATTTTAATTCCTGAAAATGAAGAGGACATACAAATAAATCAGGATGCTTTTGTCCAATTTCAGTTTTATTTCACTCTGTTATTTGAAAGATGAATTATTTGTAATATCCAGGCTTCAGCGTGTTTTGAATAGTGCTAGCGATTGTTAATATGGGCTGAAATGCGAAAGGTGTAAATGCAGCACTTGACAGCACTATCCACACTGAGTGCGTTCACATGGGCAACAATACTCAGATTTTAACATGATCAAGACAATACTCTGATTAAGAATCTACCATGTAAACAGAGATTTTTGATTACCTTAATCCGACTAAAGTCATACTCGAAGTAAACACAAACCGAATTAAGACATGTGGAGTATTTCTATTATTGAAGTGCAGTATAGACACGTACACACCTTAATCACATTATTACCGTTGTGTAGGACTTTTCACCACATTTTGCGACAGGAGACACACACGGCAGTGGTCAACCGTTTGACGGCAAACAAAAGAGCATGGCTTCAACAACCCCGTCGTCTGTTTGCATGTACAGCATGACAAATAATTAACTGCACTTGAAGCTTTCAGTAAATTAAAAATGAAACACCCAAAACTGTAAATGGCATCATAACGAAGACGAACTATATGTTGATACGTGAAATTCTGGAAGGGACGTTGGATGGCGTGGATTGTCTTATTCAGAATAAGGTAAATAATTAGATTACTGATGTCCATGTAAATGTAGTCACCATGAGATGTAATGTGTTGATGGATCATGGGGAATCTTACATTAAATCCCAGGTGAAAATGCACCCAAAATGCCTTTTGAACAGATCATTGAAACCACATTCGGAGGTCGTCTGTGACAGATCGCAGCCACTTTTGAATGTAATAGGCTTTTGAATGATCCATCAGTGATGACTGGCCTTTTGCACATGTAAGTGCCTTTGGATCTCCTTTACCCACATTGGAGACCAATGGAATGAAAGTCTAAGGCTGATGATACACAGGCAACTTTGGTTAATATTGCCATCAACGGGCAACCAGGTGAGACACACGCCCCACGACTGATCTAAAGTATACAGATAGAATTTTGTGAAAGTGCCCAAGCAACATTGCTCAAAAACAATTGCCCCGTGTATCATCAGCCTAAAAATATCGGGCACAAAATGTATGTTAATGGCAGGTGTACTGTAAAGCGGGCCAGCTTCTGATCGATTATCCGCCCTGGGCTCGTCACATATATGTGAGATGACCATGATCATTGAGCAGAATGTGCACTTTAGATTTCAGTCTCCAATCGGCTGGATTTTAAGCAAATCCAGAAAAGCTCTCTCCAGTGCTGTAGTGTGATCACTCACTGAGAGTAGATCCTGCACTGCAAAAAAAAAAAAGGGCTTAGTATTTTTAGTTTAAGGCTTAGTATTCTTACTTGGTATTTTTGTCTTGTTTCTAGTCAGAATATCTAAAATATTTTAAATCAAGAAGTTTTTACTACATAAGCAAAATGATGCAAGATATTTAGTGTTGTTTCCTGGGGGAAAGAAATCTAAATTAAGTGCATTGTGCTTAAAACAAGTAAAATTATCTGCCAGTAGGGTAAGAAAAATAACCTCTTTTAAGAGTATTTTACTTACCCCCACTGGCAGATAATTTTACTTGTTTTAAGCACAATGCACTTAATTTAGAAATTTTCTTCAGTAAATTTTAAAAACATTTTCATAAGCAAAATGATGCAAGATATTTAGTGTTGTTTCCTGGGGGAAAGAAATCTAAATTAAGTGCATTGTGCTTAAAACAAGTAAAATTATCTGCCAGTAGGGTAAGAAAAATAACCTCTTTTAAGAGTATTTTACTTATCCCCACTGGCAGATAATTTTACTTGTTTTAAGCACAATGCACTTCATTTAGAAATTTTCTTCAGTAAATTTTAAAAACATTTAGCTTATCTAGTAAATGCATCTTGATTTAAAAATTAGGCAAAAATACAAAGTAAGACAAGCCTTTTTTTCTTTTTTTTTTTGCAGTGTGAAAACCTGTGAAGTATAAATGCATCTGGAGGCTTTTACATCATGGCCA